TTTTTTTAAACCCCATAATGATTTACCCCTTTTAACTCTAACAACTTGTTTTATTTATTATTTTTTAAAAAATTATTGTGATTTGGATGAAAGTTTACAGAGTAAATTCATTTTCCATTTAGCAATTAATGCACATTTTGTTTCATGACATTGACTACAATCCCTCACAATGTAACAGCTCTCTTGCCACTTCCTCACTGTAGTTACCTCTTTCCTGTGACCTTCTTTCCAACACAACTTGTTTTACTGATGTTACTTTTGACCTAACAAATAACATGCAGAAAAGACTGAAATTGTCAAAGACTTCATATTACTTGGTTCTACAATCGACACCAATGGAAGCAGCAGTCAAGACATCAGACACTGTATTGCATTGGGCAAATCTGCTGCAAAAGACCTCTTTTAAGTGCTGAAGAGCAAAGAAGTCTCCTTGAAGACTAAGGTGCACCTGACACAGCCATGGTATTTTCAGTTGCCGCATATGCATGTGAGAGCTCAACAATGAAATAAGGAAAACTGAAGAAGAGCTGATACTTTTGAGCTGTTGTGCTGGCAAAAAATGCTTAAGTACCATGGCCTGCTAAAAGAATGAACAAATCTGTCCTGGAAGAAGTACAGTCGAATGCTCCTTGGAAGTGAGAATGGCCAGACTTCATCTCACCTATTTTGGCTATGTTGTCAGAAGGGGCCATTCCCTAGAGAAGGATATCAAGCTCGGTAAAGTGGAGAGTCAACGAAAGAGGAGAAGGCCCTCAACGAGATGGACTGACACAGTGGCTGCAAGGATAGGCTCGGGTATAGCAAGGATCGTGGGGCTGGCACAGGAGCAGGCAGTGTTTTGTTCTGCGGTACACAGAGTCGCTATGAGTCGGAGACAACTTGATGGCACCTAACACCAACAACAATAATAAATAATAACAAGCTAGTTCAGCCAACATCTATGCCATTGGTGAGCCTAAGGTTCAGGTAGAGGAGAAAGGGAAATGAAAAAGAAAGGGAGAAAAAAACAAAAGAGGAGGTATGTCTTAGTTATATGAGTGCTGCTACAACAGAAATACCACAAGTGAGTGGCTTTAACAAACAGAAATTTATTTTCTCACAGTTTAGGAGGCTAGAAGGCCAAATTCAGGATGCCAGTTCTAGGGGAAGGATTTCTCTCTCTGTTGGCTCTGGGGGAAGGTCCTTTTTCCCCTACACGTTGGAGATCTTCATGTGGTGTGGGATCTATCTTCCCCCAGCTTTGCTTGCTCGATTGTTTGTTTAATCTCTTTTAAATCTCAAAAGAGATTGATTTGAGACACATCCTATAATACCGTATCATTCACGTAACAAAGAAAACCCATTCCCAAATGGGATTACATCCACAGGTATAGGAGTTAGGATTACAACACGTATTTGGGGGGGGTGGATGGGGATACAATTTGATCCATAACGATGTGGGAAAGGGAAATAATGATGATAGGCACCATTATCAAGTCGACAATATGCCAGATAAACCAAAAAACAAACCCAATGCTATCGAGTTGATTCCAACTCATAACAACTGTATAGGACACAGCAGAAGTGCCTCATAGGGTTTCCAACCTGTAAATCTTTACGGAAGCAGACTGACTCATTTTTCTCCCATGGAGTGGATGGTGGGTTCGAACTGCTTTTTGATTAGTAGCTGAATGTTTTAACCACTGCACCACCAGAGCTCCTTATATGCCAGATACTTCCTATATATTACCTCTAAGCCTAAGAACAACCTTGCAAGGTAAGTACTGCTGCCTGCAGTACAGTGAATTGCTTAATATGGCTCTTCTTAGCCATAGTCCTCCATTTTGTGATGTATTGTAAATCCTAGGTTCTCAGCCTGTTTAGGGTGGGATGTATCATCACTTTCTCTTGATTCTGGATTTGGGTCATCATCATCTCACCCCTGGACTTGAGACAGCAGCCAATTGTCTGATATGTTGATTTGGGCTCTCCCGCCCCTGTAACCACATGAATGAGGAGAATCCTCCAGACCTATGCCTGACCCACGGATTTGGAACTTGACAGCTTCCCCACCTCCACCACCACATGAACCATTGCCTTTGCAGTGTGTGAGTTCCGTGACACATTACAGAAAAATAAGTAACTGTAAGATGGAAGGAAAGTACTGAGAGGAAGAGGCAGGGCTGATGTTACGAGATGATGAAGTGCTACAGTAGTCTGGAAAACCTGGACATTTGGGATATCTTTAATCTCCACCTCATAGCAACCAGCCTTGTTCTGATCCTTCTAAAAGAAATTACTTGAGCACTATCCTCATGTTTAAAATGAGAGAGGGAAGGTTACAGGTTAAATGACTCACCCGAGGCTATATATCTAATAAGGGTCACAGACAAGATTCCATCCCATCTGAATCAACCCAGCCCTTTGTCACTAGAACATGATGACCTCCATAACAAAGAACCAGAAACAAAAACACAGAGACATGTAAGGTCTTACCAAGAATTACTTCAAGTGCCACTGAAAAATAATAGTATCATTTGTTGCCAAAATTTATCCAGAAAGATCCATTAATTTTTCAGCATAACAAAAGTCAAGATTTTCCTCTTATCCTTAAGAGATAGATAGCTGCCTCAAGTTGACTCAATCTCATGGTGTCCTCATGTAAAACAGAATGAAATACTGCCCAATCCCTTATCATCCTCACAGTCACCGCCATGTTGAAGTTCATTATTATGGCCATGGTGCCAATCCATGTCATCAGGGGTCTCCCTCACCCTTGCTGGCCCTCCACCTCATCAACATGATACTCTTGATATCGTAATTGATCCTTCTCAATGACATGTCCAAAGCTGGTGAGGCGGACAATGCTCCGTGGTGACCCATGAGATTTTCACTGGCTAATTTTCAGAAGCAGATTACCAGGTCTTTCTTCCTAGTCTGCCTCAGTCTGGAAGTTCTGTTGAAACTTGTCCACCATGGACAACCCTTCTGATATTTGAAATACCACCGGTACAGCTTCCACCATCCCAGCAACGCACAAGCCATTGCAGTTCAACAAAATGGCAGGTGGGGGCGTGGCATCCTTACATGCACACCCTTTTTCACTAATACATAAACACACGCACACAGACATGCATGTACACGCACACTCACACACATACCCTCAGTTAAAAAGTTTGTCTTACAATTTACATCCTCCTCATCTTTACATGTATGTCTGTGTTACATTTGTGTCCCCCATCTTTTATTTTTATTGTGATTTGGGTGAAAGTTTACAGAGAAAATTCACTTTCCATACAGTAGCTCACATACACTTTGTCTCATGACATTGACCACAATTTCCCACAATGCAACAGCTCCCCCCCACTTCCTCCCCATAGTTACCTCTTCCCTGTGTCCTTCCCTCCCATGCACTCCTGCCCCCTGAGCTGTCTCCCTGTGCATATAAAGCCCTTCTATTCTCCCATGATTGTTCTCTCCAAGTAGTGTATCTACCTCAGGTAAATGTTCACCTCATATGCTTGCCTTTTGTTTAGCTGGAAGCCACAAGAGTGGGTTCAATTCCAGACCTGAAGGGCAGCTAGGGGCCATAGTCTCAGTGGTTCTACCAGGCTCTATCAGACCAACAAACCTGGCCTTTTTTTTCCTTTTTTTTTTTTAATGATTTTGAGTTTTGTTCCACATTGTTCTCCCTCTCTATCCAGGATCCCCTACATAGATCCTCCTCCTCCTCCGAGAGGTTGACAGTGGTAGCTGGGCACCACCTAGTTCCTCTGGTCTCATAGTCGTATAGGCTGAGGATCATATGGCGTACCAGTTGCCTGGACTAATTGTTTCCATGAATCTTTGGTTTTCTTCATTGTTCTTTGCTCTGGACGAGGAGAGAGCCATCGTTGCATCTAGATGGCCACTTGCAAGCTTTTAAGATCCCAGTTACTACTCGCCAAAGTTGGATGTCAAACGTTTTTGTGTACTATGTTAAGCCAATTGAGCTTGATGTCCCCTGCGACTAGGGTCCCGAGCCCACAGGTTCAACTACTTGCTCCCTCTGGGTAGCTGCCTGTGGCCAAGAAGTGACTACAGCCTTGTCCCTCGTCAGCTCTACTATACACCTGGGAATTCTTACAGAACACACCAATCCACTTGTAGAACCATTGTCTGCCAACCCTGTGCGTGGTCTTGGGTACCCTCCCCTCTGCATAGACATACCTAATAGTTCAGCCTGCCCATCCACCTATCCACCAGTATTGTCCCTTTTAAGTTTTGATACATGCTAATCTTTTAATAGGAGCTCTGGTAGCATAGTGGCTAAAGCACTTGACTGCTAACCAGAAGACTGGCGGTTCAAACCCACCAGCCACTCCTCGGAAGGAAAGTTGGGCAATCCTACTTCCATAGTGATACTGCCTCGGAAACCCAAGGAGGGGTCGCTATGAGTCGCGGACGACTCAACGGCACATAACAACAACAACAACAATCTTTTAATGTTCTCTTAATTTGCCCCCCTGAACCTTAATTTTTCTTCATGTTTCTCTCCCTTTCCCTCATCTTTTCTCTTTCATCATCTCCTTCGTTTCCTACACATTTCTCACATTTCATCCTACACATTTCAGGTTCTCTATGTTAAGTTATTTTTAGAGCTCTGTCTTCCTGATTATTCCTCTTCCCCTACATCCAGCTCCCACCCTGCTGACCCTTAATCGTCCACATCCCTTCCATTGATCTTCCTTACTTCCTCACAAATGCCAATGACCGTCCCATACACCTCTCACGGCTTTTCCCGCCTTTTTCCCCTCAAGTTTCCAAGCGCGAGGACTCATTGTCTTTCTCCCGCATCCTCCAACCAACCTCCAAGACAGCCTTGTTACCATGACGACAGAGCTACTCTAAGTCGAAGTCAAGGACCTGGTTGCCATGGCTCCCGCTTGTCCGCCTCCAGCCCCGCCCGAGCGCCCCATAGCGTTGGCGCCTGCGCAGTACGCGACGCACACAGCCTCGGATCCTGGGCGGGAGGAGGCGGGGCTTCGACCCGGAGGGAGGGAAGAAAGAGAAAGGATTAGAGGGGAGTAGAGCTGGCGCCTACGGTGGCCGAAGAGGGACGCGCCGAGCCGGAGGCTGCAGGATGGTAGGTTGTGCGAAGCGGGAGGGGAGGGGGGGAAGCTGAGGGGCGTGGGCTGCACCTGCGGGGGTCCTTGGGGGCCGCCCTCTGTCTGAGCTGCTCTTTCTTCCCTGTCGGCCTCGGAGGCCCTCACTTATCTGGGTGGCTGGGCGAGGCGGCCACGGGAGGAATCGCTGGGAATGGCATTCGAGAGAAGGGGCGGGGAGGAGGCGCATTTGTGGGGCTAGAGGGGCTTGATTGGGGCACGGCGGCACCGGACCGAGCCAGGAAGAGTGGTCGGGTCTCGGTCCAGGGGGTGCTGAGCACTGCCGCAGGAGTCGTCCGTTGTGTAGGGAAACGGGGTGGGGGGCCCGTCTGTACGGGAGGGAGCACGGAAGGAAGGGAGCAGGGGGACAGGTCGTCCACACCTTCTGGTCCCGGGCAGCCCGGAGAGGAGCGGCGGCTGGAGGGGAAAAGCAGGTGTGGGAGGGGAGAGTTTCCGGGTCCGAGGAGGGAACCTCGGGCCTTGCTGTAGCGCCAGGCTCTCCTGGAGGCAGGGGAGAGGTGGGAGGCAACGTGGGCCTGAGGTTTTGCTCTGAGGTGCTCAGGCTTTGGGGTCCTTAGCTCCGGTGCCCTCGCTGTCTGCCTCCCCTTCCCATTCTCTTTCCGGAACCCAGGCCTTCCGTCTTCCTGCTGCCCCCCCCCCCAACACACAGTGGACGCGCTTGGCTCCCTTGCGCCCCTCTGTTGGCTCTTTGCACACTAACAGCACTTCCCCTTGCCAGCCACCGAAAAACCTAGTTTTCTCCCAGCCTTGAATTCAGATTTACAGCCCACCGTGCGGTACATCGGTACATCGAGGGAGCCCTAGTGGTGTACTGGGAAAGATGAGGCAGTCTGCTTGCATAAATACATCCAGCCTTGGAAACCCTATGGGGCAGTTCTGTCCTGCCGTGTAGGGTCGCTATCCCTCAGGGCACTGGGTTGGGTTGGGTTGGGTGGCATGCACCCAGGAATCCCAGATTTAGTGACGTCCACTGAGAGGAGAGCAGTTGGGAGGAGAAGATGGCTGGGGGATGTTGTCGGGCTCCCCTGGACCTGGGAACTGAGGGCGCTGGGTAGTGAGGGCTCTGCACTCCAACCCACTTCACCCAGCTCCACAAACACTCCCAGGTGGCTGTGTCCCAACTCAGGGACCCAAAGAGAGGTTGGTCACCCGGGATCTGAGAAGTGGGTGCATAGCAGGAAGCAGCTCTAAAAAGAAGGGACACTAAGAGGCCAAGTACCTGGATGATTGTGGAGACAAGAGAATGGAATTTAGGGATCCCAATACTGTGTGGAGAATACCCTGAACATAGGACTGGCACTGGAGGGCGGTTTGGAACATCAGAAAGGACTCATAGCTAGGATGGGGTGGAGAGCTGAAGTAGATTCTTGAGAGACAAAATACCCACTTTCCTGGTAGTGACGGACAGAAAGAACGTGAAAGAGAACAACCATGTCTTTAGCATCAGTTAGGAGCTGCTTGTCAGAATGGCATTTTACTTACCTTTGGAAAACACAGGATAATAATTACAGCACTTAACACATTACAGTGCTTACCATGTGGCAGCACTGTTGCATATACCAACTCGTTTAATCCTTCCTAGCAAGTGTGTAAGGTAGACACTTTATGATCTGCATCTTACAGATATGGAAATGGAGGTCCAGAGACATAAAACAATTTGCCCAAGGCTGTACCCAAATAGTAGGGCCAGGACTTAAGCCCAGATGACAGACTGAGAAGCTCTGACTTCCCTCAGAGGGACAGGTACCTACTGGTGGGAATACCCAGCATTGTGAGCAAGGGGCTGGGATTTTTAAGAAAGTAGGAGCTATGAGTAGACAAGAATTAGATGGGATGAGTTTGGAACTGTGTGTCTGTGGAGGGAAGAAGCTCAGAGAACCAAATCTCTGACCCTCAGCTCTGCCAACCCCTCCCCAGATGCGATTTATGCTGCTGTTCAGCCGGCAGGGGAAGCTGCGGCTGCAAAAATGGTACCTGGCCACATCTGACAAGGAACGGAAGAAGATGGTTCGGGAGCTTATGCAGGTGGTTCTGGCTCGCAAGCCCAAGATGTGCAGCTTCCTGGAGTGGAGGGACCTCAAAGTCGTCTATAAGAGGTGACATCCCACCTGCTGTCAGACCTGCCCGGATCCTGCTCGAGTGGAGTTTGGCGATGAGTTAAAGAGGGGGTGCTGAGAAATGAGGGGCCCCTTAGGTCAAGGACAGCTGGGAGCTCAGGAGGTCAGTGATTAAGTTCACCTTCCCTTACTGCCAGACTTCCCCGGAAGAAACTCTTGTTCCCCACTTGGATTTGCTCCAACCTCCTGGTCACACACATACCTCTGTCCCTAAAGGCCCCATCTGGGCCACTGTGCACATCCCTTGCAGCCTCATTCAGCAGTCATAAATCCTGCCCCACTTTTCCCAACATAGACATACATATCCTTTCCAGTTCCTTATCTAAGCAAGTGATTTCATTGGCTTGGTTTTTGCTGAGTCAAAGTGAATAGGTCAGAGGCCAAGAGAGAAAAAGTGTGTGTCTTTGCTTATGTGTGTGAGCAAACACTGGGAGGCGGAGGGAGTCCCCTGCCTGTGTCTAGTAGGGGCACAGGCTTTGGGCTGGGAACAGAAGCGGGAGGTTTAAGATCAGAATGCCTGAGTCCCTCAACTTGGCAGCCCTCCAGCTATGCCTCCTGGGCCCCTCTCCCCAGATATGCCAGCCTCTACTTCTGCTGTGCCATCGAGGGCCAGGACAATGAGCTCATCACGCTGGAGCTAATCCACCGATACGTGGAACTTCTGGACAAATACTTTGGCAGCGTAAGTCTCCCTGCTCACCTCAGTTTCCTCACCCAGCAATCCCCTCTTGGCTGCCAAACTCTGGGGCTCTTCTAGCCTCTGCCCTGCAAGACTGGGGAGAGGTGAAGTCGGAGCACTGAACACAAAAGTTAATCTCCCTTTTTAAGCCTCAAGCCTATTAGCCATGGCCTTTAATCAGCCCTGGAGGAGAGGGGGCTTAGACCAGAATCTGTCACTTAATCTCCACATTACAGCTTAGCTTGGACGTCTCACACAAGGACAGAGGCCACGTTCCAAGTGTTGATCTGTGATTCCCCACCTTGGCCACATACTGGAATCTTCTGGACAGCTTGTTGAAAATACTGGTTCCCAGGTCTTAGCCCAGGATTCTGAATGAACAGATCTAGGGTATCACCTGGGCATTAGCAGAGAGCCCTGACAGGAAACAGTGATGATAACTCCATAATTCGTATTCCACTTAATGGTTGACAAAGCTCTTTCACATTGTTCCTCGTTTGCTCCTCCGTCAGTCTTATAAGTAGGCGTGGTTATCTCCATTTTGGGGTGAGAAAACTTGAGACTCAGAGACATTAAATGGAACTCAAGTCTTCCACCCAGTTGTCCCGAATCTCCTTTTTGTCTGCTATCCCAGGCTCTGGTGAGAACAGTGTTGCAGGTTTGAGGGGGGAAAGACAACAGGAATCATACTTAAGGGTAGACTGGGGCAACTGATACTTCGTGGTCACAGAGAAAGAGGCAACCAAAGAAGAAAGAGCAGAACCAACTACTAAGGACGGGAGTTGGGAGGACTAGGACCTGGGGCAAGAACCCAACGTAGGAAAAGTGGTCCTGGAAAAAGAAGTGGGGGACTGGGGTAGAGGTCGGGGTGGAAACATACCCTGTCACTCAATTTGTCTTTCCCCCTCCTCCCCAGGTGTGTGAGTTGGACATCATCTTCAACTTTGAGAAGGCCTACTTCATCTTGGATGAGTTTTTGATGGGGGGCGATGTCCAGGACACCTCCAAGAAGAGTGTGCTGAAGGCTATTGAACAGGCTGACCTGCTGCAGGAGGTAGGGACCAGGGACAGTGAGGAGGAGGACGAGCACGGGGTGGACACCACTGAACACCCTGCCCGCCAGTGATGGCTGCCCCCTTCCTGCTGCCGGCGTGCCCTTCCTCCCTGGGGTGTTTGCTCAGCCCCAGCCGCAGCTGTCCGGCTAGCCCTCAGGCCCTGATCGAATGGAGTGGGAGGCAGGGGTGGCGGACAGCTCGACTGAGCCAGTTCCCCCCTGGGTCCAGTTCTTCCTCTCCCAACACCCTTGTCCCAGCCAAGTCTTGTTTGTTCCACACTTTTTTTAGTGTCGAGAGTTGCTCAGCAAATTGGAGAAGGGAACACACACGTGGCAGATAGCTCTTTTTTCCCTGGTCCCTTCCCCCTTTTTTTCTTTTTGTTTTTGTTTTACACACACGCGAACTCCAAAGCCTGTGCTTCTGAGAAGCAAAAGGCCCCAGGGATTTAGGGGCTGGAGTAGAGGATGCCTGGCTTTGCTGGTTCTCCCTGCTGTCTGCCCCCCACACACACACACACCTCACCCTCACCCCATTATGCCTGCCCCCTCTCTGCTGTACCACTGCTGAGACATGGTGCAGGGAGATGAGTCACCGGAATCTGCAGTGACAAGCAAGCCAGCCTGAGCTGGCTCTGAGGAGGGGGAGAGCTGGGGGGGGCTCCTTTCTGCAGGAGCAAAGTCAGAGCTGAACTTGCCACTTCACTGGTCCAGCGTCCCTGTCTCTCTCTCTCCGTCTCTCTCTCTCATACACAGACACACACGCACAGAGACACACACACACACACACACACACTCTTGCCCTGGCACACATGCCCACCCCTGTTACTGGGGTTCTTCTCAGACCCTAATGACTCATCCCCGATTCACCTTCCCTTGAGGCCCTGAAGCCCACCTCTTACCCACCTCCCCACCCTGAAAGGGAGTACCCAGCCATCTGCCAGCCACCCCCTGCTGTTCTCCCGGAAGCAGTCACAGCTTCACCCCATTCCCCTTCCTCAATACTGAGGCTGCACCCCTGCTCACCAAGCTCCTGGCTTTGAGTTCTCTGGGTGATGATGGACTGACCCCAGGCCCCTGCCCTGCCACAGTTGGCTCTGGAGGGGGTAGTCCTGGGGGGCCGGCAAGCACCCCTCAAGGGCTCCCAGCTGAGGGAGCTGGTTGGTGGCTCACGTCGGCTTCTCTCCCCTACCCCCTGTGTCCTCTGCTTCCCCACTCTGACTCCTTCCTCCTAATGACTGTTTTTTCCCTACCCTCCTCTCTTGCTCCCCGCCTGCCTCTCCTGGTGTCTCTGCGTCACCCTCTGTCTCTGCCTCAGGAGGACGAGTCACCGCGCAGCGTGCTGGAGGAGATGGGCCTGGCATAGCCCCGGCGTGTGGTGACGTGGGGCTGGTGGAGAGGCAGGGAGCAAGGAGCTCCTTCCTGTCGTCTCTCTAAGCCCCTTTCTTGGTGGGACCCAGCGGCCCCTCCTCGGCTGCCTCACCTCCTTTTGGCGTGAGCTGCAGGCTGCGGACCCTCCAACATTCCCGCCCACACTCCTTCCCTCCTGTTTTCCCTTTTCTCACCTGAGGTTGGAGCTGAGAGGTAGGAAAATGTGATTGAGATGGGGATGCTATTTGGATTGAATTTCCTGCCTTGGAAGAACGAAGGGAACCCCAGGCTTCCTCCCCTCCCTTACAACTGTAAATATATAAATATGTCAGGTTCAAGGGGAATGGTTTTCAGAGCTCTTCTCTTTCCCCTGCCCCGGTAACCTACCTCCAGCCCCTCACCCCCTTCCACCAGCCGGCACACAGCAGCAGCTTCTCTGCCTGGGGACAGGGCTGCTGTGTAGGGGACCGGAGGCCTTGCCCTCCTCTGCCCTCTCCCCCTCTGGCTGCATTGGGACCTGTGTCCAATGCCAGGGGAGGAACAACAGAGTTAATTTTTTTCTAAATTTACCTCCTGAAGGAAGGAAGGATTGGGGGAGGGAAGAGCTCTGGGGGGAAACTGGGCCCTGACCCTCCTCCCTCCACCTTCTGGGTGAGGCCAGAGCTAAGGGGGTGGGCTGGGGGAAGTGTCTGACATTATTTTTTCCTTTCTTCTGAAATAAAAGGAAAAGCATTTCTGGACTTTGCCTTCCTTGGACTTTGTGGAGGAAGGCAGGGCCGCTGGGATCAGCCAGGAGGCAAAGGAACATGGCCCATGCATCTCTTCCCCGAAAGGATTTCCAAATTTAGGTTTTGTTTTTGTTTTTTTTAAAAAAAGAGAGACTTTGTTAAATTTGCATTTCAGGTGGCCAGTGAATAATTTTAATTGTATTAAGTGTGTCTCTTGCAATATTTGGAACATACTTGTCCTACTATCTTACTCATTTATCTGAAACTCATACCCAGCTAAGTGTCCCGTCTGTTGTCACACAGTCCTTCCCCAAACAGATCTCTGTGCGGCTCAGTGGCTTCCACGCTGCCTCCGGCTCCCAGAGCCTGGCCTTCACCAGGAAGGAGCGGTCCTCAGAGTGGTTTAAAGGCTCTCTTGTTTCTTTGTGGAAGATTTTATGCACCCAGGTTTTGATCTGGGGAGGGGACTCAGAAGTCCAAAGATGTACCCCACTAGAAGGCAATCTACTTCATAAAGATTGACAGCCTTGGAAAGCCAATGCGGGTCGCTGGCAGTAGGTTTGGTTTTTGGTTTTATGCTTCGAAAAGCATTGACAGGGGGCTAAAACCAAGGTGCTCAGCTGCCAACTCCTGCTCTCCTTATTTCTTGTGAGGTGCACAGGGTGGAGGGATTGAGGGATTAGTGAAGGGAGGTGGCAGGTGAGGTGGAACAAGGGTAGTGGGGAAGCTCCCCGGGTCCTGGTCGCGCGATGAAGAGACTCCTGGTGGCTCTTGCTATCTGCCAAGGCCTGGGAAGAAGTCTGTTAAACCGCCCCTTCCCGCCGCTAGACGGGGAATGATGTCTGAATGGATGTGAGCCTGTGCTACCCCTAAACAGATCCCGCCCCTCAGCTCGGCTTTGCTTGGGGGTAGGAGGCAGGAAACCGAGGTCTTGACTGGCGCTCCCCTCACCGCCCCTTGTGAAGGACCACGCAAGGTCCAAGGGGACGGGTGAATAACCGAGAACAAAGTCCTAATAAAATAGTCACTTTTATTTCTTAGCAAAACTATTTCCTCCGTGAGGGGTTATTTACAACAGAGAAGGAAAAGAAGGGATAGTAAATTCGCCGCGATCCGAAGAGGGTGGGGAGGTTCGTGGGAGGCCCAAAGGGAGAGAGACTGACCCACTTCTTCGCACAACTAACTGGAACTACTGTTTCCGGTTTCGACGGGAACGTCCCGACCGGGACGCGGTGGGGACCAGACCCCGATGGGGGAGGGGAGTCGCACAAACCGCCCGCCCGCCCGCCACCCCCCACCCCCGACTCCGGGCTGGCCCCAGGCCACCCGCAAGTGCGTTTTGGGAAATCGGGCTTCGGATCCAGGAAGAGGTAGGGCAGGTCTTGGCACGAGGCCCGCGGGCGCAGGCGAGAGGGCAGGGGCGGGGCCAGGGCGCATGCAAACCCCGAGAGGGGAGCGGAGCGACACGGAGGGGGACGGGCGGCGCGCGGGCAGGGGCGCGCGCGGCCGGGGCGGGTCATGGGCGCCGGAGCAGCACGTGCTCAATGTAATTCTCCAGCTCCTCCTGCTCCTGCAGCCGGCGCTCCTCCGCCGCGGCTGCCTCCTGCGCGCGCCGAGCCTGGGCCTCCCGGGCGGCGGAGTGGCGCGGAGGCGGCAGGGCGTGGTGATAGTGGCGGCGGCGCGAGGCGGCTGGTGGCTGCAGTGTCCGCGGCCGGATGTAGTTGGGGCCCGGGGAAAACACCTCGTCCTCCCGATCCCAGGGCGGGAGCACCTCGTTCCAGTCGGGCAGCTCCTCGTGAGCGGGCGCGGGGACAGGGGGCGGGGGCTGCGGGGAGCGGACGTGGGCGGGGGCGGGCGCGGCCCGGGGGCGCGGCACAGGCTCGGGCGGGGCGTTCTTCTTCCGCTTCCGCTTCTCCTCCACCTCCTCGATGATGCTGACCACGTCGTCGGCCGGCAGGTGTAGTTTGGTGGACAGCTCAATGAGGCTATCGATGGTCTGCGGGTCCATCTCGTCATCCTCTTCCTCCTCCTCCTCCCCGCGCTCCTCGGGCCCCTGAGCCTCCTTCCGCCGGTGGCCCGGCGTCTCCTCCTGGGAGCGCTTATCCTCGGCTCCGGCTTCCCCGTCCTCCTCCTCGGCGAACAGCAGCGCGTTCTGCCGCGCCCTCTCCGCCTCCTCCGCCTCCGCCTCCGCCTCCGCCGCCTCCTCATCCTCTTCCTCCTCCCTCTCCTCCCCGCCGCGCCTCTCCTGCTCCGCTTCCTCCTCCTCCCTCTGGCTCTCTGGCTCCTCCTCCTCCTGCAGCCCCCGACCCCCTAGGCCGCGCTGCCGGGCCCCGCCCTGCAGCAAATACTGGAGGAGCAGGTCCGAGGCCAGGTCGGCCAGCCGCTCCTCCTGTGCCGCGGCCTGCCGAGTGGCCTCTGCCTGTCGCCGCCCAGCCTCTACCTGCGCCAGCCCTTGCTGCAAAAGGCGCTCCCCAGCCTCGGAGCCGCCCAGGAGTGAGCTCTCTGGCCGGCGCGCCTGGGGAAAGGGGGCTCCCAGGCCTTGGTACGCTTTGGACAGGGGTGCCAATGCCTCGCCCAGGTGTGTTTTTGGGGAAGGCACTCCATCCCCGAACCGGTGGGTTTCGGACAGGGACTCACTCTCGGGCATACGCGCCTGAAATTGCGGGGAGGCGGGGGGCGGCAGGGGCGCGCGCTCGGGCACGCGCGCCTGGAACTCTCCCCAGGAAGCGCGCCACACGCGCTCTGGCCCGGGGCTCTCCAGGTTGACTCGGGTCAGCGTGTGCGTGCGGGTTTCCGTCTCTGCTGCTGCCGTTTCTTGCTGGCGCTTGGCATTGCTCGGACTGAAATCTCGCAGTTCCTGGAGCAGGGACGCTAGTGCCTCGAGCTCCTCGGAAGGATAGCCCACCTCGGGACCACTCTCCTCCTGAGTTTGGGGGCGAGACGGGACCGGGGGCGCTTGGGTCTCTGGAACCGGGAGGCTGTGCGTCTGGCTGCGCACGGTTTCGGTCAGCAAAGCTTCTTCAGCTTCTTCCCCTGGCCCCTGCTGGGAGCCGCCCGGCGCCGGGGGCGAGGCCGGACGGTCGAGTGCCTGCAGCAGCACCGCGGCCAGCGCTCGGGGATCCACGCCCTGGAAGAGCTCTCCTTCGGCTTGAGTCTCGGAGTTGCGAGCAGCTCGGACCTCTGGGGTGCTGCCATCCTTTGACCCGGGCACTGCGTCCCCGGCTACCGACTCTTTATGGGCAGAGCTGAAAGGAAGTGACTGCGCCTCAGGGTGTCCCGGGGGCGCTGCTCCCAGTCCCTTGCTCAGTAGGAGGGCGCAGAAGAGGACGGAAGCTGGCAGCTGGGGAGATTTCATGACCAAGGGGCTGCCGGAGACAGTCAAAAGAAAAGAGGGGATTTCTGTAAGAATTCCTGCTCTCCAGCCCTCCGTTCCCTTCCCCCACCTTTAATCAGGAAACCCGGGGCTTCCCGATTCCCCCAACCTTACCCAGAAGAGGGACGGTTGGGAGCAAGGGAGGAAGAGCTCGGGCCGATCTCTGGAGTCGTGGAAATGGGAAAGGAACGCCGGCAACCCCCGCTCTCCCAATTCTTCCTCGCCCCCTTCCTGAGCCATCACACTGCCAGCGCCCACGTACTTAGCACCAAGGATGGGGTGGGGGGAATCTCTGCTCCCGCCCCACAGGACTCCTGGATCGTGCGTGGGCGACTTCAGCAAGAGGAAAACGGCAACTCCCCCTTTACCAGGAGCCCTTCCCAGGGGCTCCCTGCTGTGTTTTAAATACCCCCATCTGGGAGAGGAGACAACCCTCCCTTACGCCCACGGCTGCCGAGGTTTGAGAGACGGACAGCAGAGTAATTACCAGCTGATGTCACGACGCGGGAGGTGGAGAGGAGGCTCGGGAAGGGGTAGGGACAGGGGAAGATCAGACGCGTACGCCTTGGACGGGGTACGAACGACGATCCAAGTCTGACGTCCAGTAGGCCGGGCTGAGCTGGGTCCGCGCGGCTCTTGGCAGCTCGCTAGCTTCGGCTCCAGCACGCTGGACAGCGCCCGCGCCGCCGCCGCCTTATAAAGGGAGCGCGCGGAGTCACGTGGGTGCGCCCCGCCCCACTGACGTCAATGTTCATTCATCGGGTAGCGGGCGGGCGCCCAGCGATTGGAGGGTGCGCGCCTCTCCGGCCCGCGCCTGCGTGCTGGGGCCCGCGGCTGGAGGGGCGTGCGCTAGCCGAGCGCCGGGAAATGAATGAATGAATGAATGAATGAATGAAATGCCGAGGCGGGCGGGGCAGGGGGCTACGAATGAATGAAGGAGGGACGAGGAGAAAAGGATGAATGAATGAATGGTAGAATGAATGGAAGGGTGGATGCAGAGGCCCTGGAAGGCGGGAAGGGTGGGTTACTGAGCCGCTAGCAGCCGCCGGAGCCAGCGCCGCTGAGCCGAATACGAAAGGGGCACTCCCAGCGTCTGAGTGGGCACCAGTCGGAGATGCTTCCTGGGGAGGCGGAAGATAAGGGTCCGAAAGCCGGGAAGGGGACCCGGCTGCCTAGCTCCCAACCGCACGGCCCTTGGGGAACCCGCCCAAGGACGGCGTGAACCCGAGAAGGGACGGACCTGCGCGCCTACGGGCGCTGTCCTCGGATCTGCGGTGCGGGGTTCCGGCCTTGGGCCGGGGCGGATGGGTGGATCTTGCAGTTTGGGTAATCCCCAACGGAAAGTGTCCGAATCTAGAGAGGGAGGGGAAAGACTGAGGATGTATGTGCCTTTGCGTCGTCTCTGGTCACGGCAGGTGCGCGTCTGAAGAAAAAAGGTGTGTCTGTCCTTCCGTCCGGCTGACTTCCGCGTTGCTGGTACCCCGCTGTGCCTTTCCAGCCCACCTCTCCCCGCCCCCCGTCCTGCTCCTTTCCCTCCCGCCGCTTCCCCCCGAAGGACGTTTGGAGGGCGAGAACGGATCAGGTGGGGAGGGGGTTGCGCAGGTGGGGGGGGGTGACTCAACTCCAGCTCTCTCGGCTCCTTAAAGAGAAGATTTGAAACAGCGGGGGGAGGGCTGCAACGTCAGAGACCGTCCTTCTCAGACCCTTCATCCGTATCTCCTGCCAGAGGGGTTGGGGCCGGGGGCTTGGACGGCTAGAGATTCCGGGGGGGGGGGCGGGGGGCGATGACGCACAGATTGCGCAAAGAGAATCCATCAGCGAGCTGGGTCCGGTGAAGGGAGACCGGGAGGGGCGGGGGTGGGGGGACGGAAATGGGGAGGGGGCAGAGGAGGGGAGAGGTAGGTGAAGGGAGCTGTCACTGCAGGAATGAAGGGGAGGGAAGGAGGCTGGAGGGGGCTGCGGTGCAGGCGGAGAGCGGTGCAGGGGCGCGGGCAGGGAAAGGGGGGAGTGACAATGACACACACCAGACACACAAGAATTGCGGACACAGGGGTGCTTGCGGGCACACGCAGGACACCTGCGCCCTGAGACAAGAAACCAGGACCAGGGCTGCCTGTCAGGGGCTCAGGAACACTTTGCAGTCAGTTTTTCTACCCCCTCCTCATCTATCTCACCCACTTCTCCGCGCGCACACACTCCCTCTCCCTCTCTCTGTCTCTCACGTGCTTTCCCTCTGTAGCCAGCAGTGGATTCTCGCTCCCATCAGTGGTTCGACTTTCCCAGAAGAAAGCCCATCGGCTTTGCCAGGAAAGAGGTGGGGGAGAGAGGAGAGAGAGGGAAGAGAAGGGTGGGGGGTAAGAAAGGAATCTGAAACAGGTAGATGGAATAAATGAGGAAAAAAAGATGTCCGAGAACCAAGATGACTGTGGAGATGCCAAAGAAAGGAGGGAGAGGAGGTGGGAGACCCTGCCGCAGCGCCTCCCCCCCTCACGACTCTGCAGGTCCCCCTTTCTCCCTTCCAGCTCTCTTCTTCCCCCCACCCCCATCTTCCTTTCACCTTTCCAGCCTGGTGACGGAGAGCCTGGGGGAATGGGGAGGGGGTCACGTTCCCTTCTAGAGGAAGATGAATCAGAGAGAGATGGCTCAGACATCTGGAGAGGGGGAGGGGAAGCCATCCAAGAGAGAAGGAAGCTGGGAGGGAGGGAGTCATGAGGGCAGACTGACAAGCTGATGGGGCTAAGAGACAGACCAAATGACAGCTGAGGAGAGAAACTGTACCCCTGTGCACTTGTGTGGGTGCGCGCACAGCTGGGTGTGCATATACATGCATGCGCATGTGTGTTTGTATGTACACAGTAGTGATTAAGAGATACAGGGGAAAAAGAAAGGGAGTGGGGAAATCAGCTGTGTATTTAATCAGATAAAGAATGGATGGTGGTGGCAGGGTTTCCAAATGAAATATATGGTCATTTCGTGCACTCTGTGTGGCTGTGTTTTTGCTTATTTCCAGGTGTCGGAGTGTATGTGTGAGTATGTGTGTGTTCCCACCCTGTCTGAGTACTTGCGTGGCTAGGAGTTTTTGAGTACACCCAGTCCTTGGCATCTGCTGGTATGTCTGAAGTGTGCCTGGCTTGGTGTGTCCTTAATGTGTGTGCCGCCTATGGATGTGTGCAGGTGTCTGCGTTCTTCCCTAGATGTATGTCTGCCCATTGCTCTGGGTCCTTCCATGGTTGGCAGTGTCAATTGGTGGTATTTGTACTGTCGTGTGCCTTTCATCTTTCCTGCCCCCCCCATTTCCCTCTACCCCTAGATTTCTGTGCCATAGAGTCTCAATATCCAAGTCCTTCAAAGCCCCCAAGTTCTGAGTCCTTCTCCCTTGTTTCCAGAGAGCTCCCCATTCCTCCATTCTTCCCCAACCTCCTGCCCTATCCCTCCCTCCACCCAAATCTGGGGGGTAAGGGGAACTTCCCAGAAACAGATACCCCAAGAGCCTCAACCATCATGGGAGGAAGGGTGGGATGGAAGTGGGGAACCAGGTGGAAGCCTGGAGCACCAAAGGCTATAGATCTAGACCATGTCCCCTCAAGCCTGGAAGACCTCCAGATCCCTGGGTCTGCTTCCGTCTCTCTCCATCCATCCATCCATCCGTTTCCAACCTGCATCAGCTCATATTCATCCACCCGCGGATATACCGCGCCCTTTGTACCCTGCTACTTCTAGGGGCTTATGGACTAGGGGCAGGCTCCTGGGATTGGGGAAAGGAGGGAGCCGGCAAGAAGGGTGAGAGGGTAAAGATAAAGAAGAGGGTGAGAGATCTGGAGCAAGCAGAGCTGAGAAGGGGCCTGAAGGGGATGTTTGCCTTTGTTTCTGGATCACCCATATTCTCCAGGGGGGCAGTGGGAGAAGAACGGGCCACCAGGGCACTGATCTAAGCTGAAGCTCTGGAGTAACCCGGGGAGGGGGCAGAGACTGGGTCTTTTCTCTGCGAAGGGCTGGGAGAGAAAGAGAGGGCAGGGGCTTGGGGCCCCTCCAGCAGCTCACCACCCCCCTGTCCCTCCCCCCTATTGGTGACTCACCTCTGCAGCCTTGCATTGCGTCAGCGCTGGGGGGGCAGGCAGGGAGGGGGCACTTTATGAGAGAGGTAGGGGTCTCCACTTTGAACTAAAAGAAGATGCTGAAGCCCCCCTGAAAATGGCCCCATTAGAAGGCATCCTAGCCCAAGTCCCTGTCCACCCCAGTTCTGTAGGATGGGGAGTCCAGGGAAGGAGACTGGGGAGAGGGCTGGGGGCAGCTGGTGGGTCCCGGGAACAAGATGAGTGACAGGAGGGGGTGCTCACCCTGGTTTTCAGTCCTGGGGTTCCATTCCCTCAGAACCCCCCCACCCACTCCTGAGTGGGGGAGGGGAGACCCAGCAAGCCGGGGGAGGGCAACGCCGCAGAGATGAGTCACCAAGAAAGGGAAGGCGAGCAACAGACAGAGACGAGGAGAGATACAGAGACAGCTACTGGAGAGACTGAGAATGGAAACTATGCCCACACCCCACGAAGGTGGTGTCCACAAACTACCCACAGCAAGGAAATTGTGTGCTGAACCAGCCCCTCCATCGACCTGCCAAACACACACAGAACACTAGCCTACAGTTACACTCAGCTGTTGAGACACACCCACTTACACAAACACAATGTCACACCTAGCCTGGCAGAGTGACCCAGACCTGTGCTGACGATGTGCCCAGGGCACTGGACACTCGCATTGACAGCCCTCATTCCTTTTAGGGGGTGGCGGGAGAGGATCAAAAACCCCACGGAATGAGACTTTAAAAATCCGAGACGTTGTGCTGTGCACACACGACGACACACACAAGTCGCCTGCCTCCCCATCCACACGTACATAGTAACATATCAAACACCGTCCTCGTGAAAACAAAAAACACTTGGACTCCCTGCTTCTGGGGTACACCAGGCACGCTGTTCCCAAGACGTCCCACCCTGACACCCTCGGCCTCGTACACACATGGACAGAAACGCAGACACACAAAGACACCCATGAACACACTCACACGGACGGAAACCACCTTGCACTGCCTCGCCCGCGTCAGCACACGTCTTGGCGCCCCCGCGTGTTACTTGTCGGGAGCGCAGTCTCTCGGCCGCGCGGGAGCTCGGCTCCTGGGGGCGGAGCCCAGGGTTCCCCTTCCCCCTCCTCCTCCCCACCGCGCGGGGCCGGTCCCGGAATGGGGAAAGCGAGCGCGGCGGGCCACTGGCGAGTCGAGCGCTGGGAGTTAGACGTCTGGATCCTGGTGGTTGAGAGAGGCTGGTCCTGGAAGCCAAGCGAAACTTGGGAGAGTGGCGAAGAGCCCACAGGATTTGGGCAGCAGCAGACTTCCAGGTCCAGGGGAGAGCGAGGCCAGGGGTCAGGCAGGCAGCCTCGGCTCAGAGCAGCCCGGCTCTTTCGGCCGCTGGGCCGGGGTGGGGGTGGGGACGCACGACGACCAGCAGCCCTCCTCCGCCCCCCACGCCCCCAGGAAGTCATTAGCCCCGTTGCCAAGGGGCTTGGAGATCTTCTTTAATACAGGCTGCCGGGGAAGGGGGGGGATGATGCATCTCTGTCCACCCCGTTGAGAAGTGAAACAGACACAGTGGGTGGGCAGAGGGACAGTTTTTATTACAATACAGCCATGGTCAAAGTGACAGGGAGGGTGACAGCAGAGCCAGGCGCAGGGGACAGAGCAACACCGACGCCAACCGGCGCTGGGGAAGGTGCTGGAGCACTGGCCGCCCTCTTTGCCTACCTTCTCCCACCCCAGCCCACCGCGCCCTCCTCTGACCACTTCCTGAGTTCCATTCCCAGTGGGCCTCGGGCTAGCTGTCAAGGCAGGCCTAACAACTGCTTATTGCCCAATACATTCATCGTCACACAGAGTTGAGGCTCTGGGGCATGTTCTGGGTATGCAAACCCGGAGAGGACCTCAACTACCACAATGATTTAGAAGTCACTTGGATCTTTCTGAGCCTGTTTGAGATTCCAAGACAGGAGACAGTGCCACGCAAATACAGCTGCTACTACTTGCAGTGAAATAGAAGACCCTCACAGTCAAAGAGCATCTGTGATCCAAAGAAGAGAAAAGTGTCCAGAAATATCTAGGGGTGGGGGTTCCAGTCACACTAGAAGGCAGCCTGGTTGGAACCAGGAGACAGCCCCAACCCCAGGCTGAGGGACTTGCCCTCCACAGCATCAAACTCTCCAGCCAGAACCCCCTGGTGGTTTGGGGGCAAGGAGAGGGCCTGTGAGACGGCAACATCAGGCAAAGTTGGGGAAACCCCGAGTCAGAGGGTCAGGCTCAAGAAGGGGCATCACCAGAGTGTAGACAGGGAACAGGGTGGCGGGGCCTTATAAACATATTTCATTTGCAGGATGAGGCGCTCATGAGGAAGGAAAATGGAATGGCGGAAAGACGGGCACCAAGGTGATAAGTGTGGGAGAGGCTCGGGGAGGAGGGGGGACTGACAGGAGGGGGGCGAGGAGGAGAGGAGCTCTGAGGGCTTAGGAAAGGGCAGGAGGAAGAAAAGTGACTTATTGAAAGGCTGAACTCCAGGGAGTGCTGGGCGTTGAACGCACTTCCCGCTCCCACCACAAGGAGACAGAAGGGAGAAGGGAAACGCTGGGAGAAGCCGGGAAGGGCAGAGTTCACTCCCAGGCCAGGACTACAAGCAGGGAAAGGCTCTGAAGCCTGTGAAGGACCCGCTCTTTGGCGGGCAACGGGAGAGGGTGGACAATAGCAGCGCAAAGAGCTCCCCCAAATCCGGCAGTCCAGGCCAGGGCTTGCGCCACGCTGGCTGGAGCGCTGGAGGAAAGATGGCGGACAGAAAGGACCAAGGCTGGGGAGGGAGGGGAAGGGACGTGAACCTCGGGGCCGGGCGGGTATCAGAAGTCACGCCCGAGGGCAGGGGGCGGGGTTGGCTGCGGATCTGCGGGAGGGGGCGGGTCTAAAGTGCATCTTTTCTCCCCGCCCCCTTCAAGCGAGGCCTCAGATGTCCGCCTCCAGAAGGTACTGTTCAGTGTAACCTTTGACCAACTCGAGCCCCAGGCCGGCCTGACAGAAGTCAGCCAGTTGTGGCCACAGATGGGGTGCCAGAAAGAGCTGACACATGACGTTGAGGCCGGCGAGGCGCGGGGCCTGGCGCTGCAGATGCCAAAGCAGTTGGCTTTGCACCTGTGCACCATCGCTGCCAAAGGCATCAATGTTGAGGTAGCGCCACGTGCCGTCGCCGCCGTGCGGGATGGGGAAGGGGCGCGTGCACAGAGTGAGCACCCGCGGACGCGCGCGGCTATCCACGCGCCACTCCAGGCCCTTGGCCGCCAGCAGGCGCAGGTTGCTTTCGCTCGGCCGGTAGGGCTGCCAGTCCTGGATGATGGTCCCTCCCGGAAGCACGTCGCGCTGCACCAAGGGCGACAGCAGGAGGCGCGCTACGTCGCCGCCTGCCTCGGACACGGCCTCAGTGGGCAGGGGCGAGAAGGTGCCGGAGGCCCGCAGCGCTGCCAGCCGGGCGCCCAGCCCAGCCAGGAGCGCCGACGCGTTGAATCGGACCAAAAGGATGCCCTGTGGGGGGCACGAGTGAGCGGGGGCGGGTGGCAGGACGGCGGGGTGCCTGTACCTCTAGGCTTCTTCACTACCACACGGGCTCCCACCTGGCCCCTCCGGGGAACCGACTCCCGCGGGGCGAGGCGAAGTGGGGTATGGTGCAAGTCTGGGTCCCCAAGGGGTAGCATGGAAGGACCAGGGTCCCAATGGCTGGAGCCCCAAAGAAAGGCGAGATGAGTTAAGAGGACTGGGAGTGTGGACAGCAAAGGGAGGCACATTAATCCGTAGAAGGGGGGGGGGGGACTGAGATTTGGATGCTCGGGTTACTGAAGAGGCCAGGCCGATGTGGGGAGGCGAGGTTTCAGAAGTCCAGGCTCCTGGGTTCTCCAGTACCCTGGAGTAGCACGGACTGAGGGGTTGGGAGCGGTGTGCCTTTCGCTGGACAGAAGCGAGGACTGCGAGCCCGTGATTGGCTGCGCGGGGGACGGGGTGGGAAGGGCGCCCGTAAGCCCCAGGGGAGAGGCCAGACCATCGGATCTCTCCTGTCCTTCTCACCTGCTTGGTGATTAGGCGGTATTTCTGCAGCTCCCGGGGGCCCAGCTGGTCGTCCCGGGTGAGCCGTGCCACCTTGATCCCCGGGTGCCGTCGTTTGACCAGCTGCGAACAGAAGCGCTGCAACACCCCGGCCACGCCTTTGCCGCGCTCCCAGGGCGCCACGCGCAGCCCCTCCACCAGCGCCGTCTCCCCGGCGTCGATCACGTGCACCGACTCCAGTGCGATCTGCGGACGGAGGCCGTTAGGGGGCCCCCTTCCTGTCTCCACCCTGCCAGGGTTCGGCTCACAAGGCTCGCCTCTTCCCACACGCTGAGCACTTCGTCGTCACCACCCTGGGCGCCAGAGCAGAGCCGGAGGCCTGCCCAGGGAGCGCTTCTCAGCACTTGGGTCCCGGGTTCCAGAGCTGGTGAAACGTCTCTTCCACCTCTTGACAAACTCCAGCTCAGCGCGCGCACCAAGTCCCTGACCGCTCACCACGCCCCTTGCCTTGGCTCCGCCCTCGGACACGCCCCCCGACGCTGCCCACCGCACTTGCCACGCCCCCCTGTGATTCTTGGCCCCGCTTTCGAGCTAATCCTGAAGCTCTTGCAGCTCTCCCTCCCTATTCAGGTCTACTTTGTGTGGGAGATCCGTCTACTTTGGGGGTTCTGGTTCCACTGTAGCTACCCTCACCCCAGCCTACTCCTAACACATTGCCTGCTCCCCTTTTTGTGTTCCAGCCCCCAGAAACTCCTCACACGGGTCTTCCAGTCTCGCACCTCTCACGCAGCCTGGAGCCTGGTCGCCCGGCCTATTCCGAGTTCTCCATGCCCCTTCAGTGTCTAGACCCTGGATCCACAAGCCCTACTCTTGGTGCCAGAGTAGATTCTATTTCCCAAGGAACCGGACAAGGGCTGCGGGAGAGGCTTGCCCCCTCCTACCTAAGATCCACGCACCCCCATTTCCTTCACCCCTTTTCCTCGTTGCCCGCCCCGCGGCTCTCACCACTCCTCCATTGCGCTTGGCCAGCACCACCGTGCGGTTGGGATCCCGGAGCCAGCTGTGGTAGCGGCTGGGAAGGTAGTCGAGGCCGCCGTAGATGCCCCCCGAGATGGCCAGCACCTCCTCGAACTCCCTTTCAGTGGCCACCATGAAGTCCAACGGCTCGGCCTCGGCCTCAGCCTCAGGCCCCAATCTGGAGCTGGACTTGGCCTTGATCTCAGGCCCTGACTTGATCCCCAGGGGTTCGGCCTCAGCCTCAACACCTGGATCAGACTTGGGCTTGGCCCCCAGGAACTCGGCCTCGGCTACAGGCCCTGAGTTGCCTCCTAGGGCCTTGGCCTGAGCCTCGAGCCCAGATCTGGATCTAGACTTGGCCTCTGCCTCCTGCGGATTGGTCTTGGAGCTTGGCTTTGCATCTGAAACAGGCTCCTTTTCAGCTTTAGGGACCTCAGAGTCAGCTATCCCACAAACAGCTTCCAGCTTCATTTCCCTGCAGAAAAGAAAGAACCCAGAAAAAGGATCACAGCCCTCTCTCCCCCTTCCTTTTCCACATCTGGCCCCCTACACACAGACATCTGGCCCCTCACAGACCCTTCCTGCACAAACATTCCTTCTCTCCTGCTCTCTACACAGACCCTGACCGTGAAGGTCTCCAGCCCCTTTCCTATAAAATCCATCTCCCAAGTTACCCACTCATTTGGGAGAGATCCCCTTCTTTCCCCAACCAGCCCCCAGAGAGCCCAACCCCATGTGCTTCACCTTCATCAGTCATAACCGTGGAGTCAGGCTAGCTCTGAACTCCCCCATGACCAGTCATCTCCCAGGGACTCAAACAAAGGGGAGAAAGCCTCTCGGTGAGGGGGAGATACAAATGGAGACACCCCCTCAAGGGCCCCACTACCTCCCCAAGACCTCTGCAAGGTCATGAGAAAGAAACACCCATCATTGTTAGTCTCTCTGCAAGAGGTTTCCCAGGGAAGAGCAGAGGGCTCAAACCCCACCCCTCTTCCTGTCACAGTCACTTATCTCAGGACAAAGGAAGGGGAGGTAGAGCCCAGATCTCCACATTGTTGCCCCAGTAGTCCCTCAAATCCCCTAACACATATATACAAACGTAAGCCAAAGGAGTGGATGGTTGGGCAGCTCCACCAGGAAATGTCAGATCATTCCTCCCAGGACAATAAAAACCACCTCTTCCTTCCTTCTTCTTGAGTCTTTCCACCACTTCCCTATAGAGAAGGAGCTCTGGTAGCGTAGTGCCTAAGGCACCTGACTGCTAACCAGAAGGCTGCTAGTTCAAACCCACCAGCCACTCCTCAGAAGGAAAATGGGGCAATCTACTTCCGTAGTGATACTGCCTCGGAAACCCAAGGAGGGGTCGCTATGAGTCGGGACCAACTCAATGGCACACAACAACAACCAGCATCCCAGGTGACACACATATCAGTTACATTAACTGGTCTTGTTTTACAAGAGCACTACCTAGTTTTGGAGAAGGGGATCAGTGGTAGCACCAAGGGGTGGTTTTGGAATGGTTTTATGTTCCATGCCATAAACAGCTTAAGGAGACTCAGGGTACTTGCTATACAGACAAAACTTCTGAACAAGACTGCCATCTCCTCTTTCTTTCAACCTGATTCCTGTGCCTAAGCATGGGTGTGGAGAACAGCATGGGGCCAACAGCATGGGGGCATCAGGAAGCAGGGTTCAAAGGATTTTAGAACACCCACTAGGGCCGTTAGAGACCATTTTTTTCAACCCATTGAGGCCCAAGGAGGTTAAGAACTTTACCCAAGGGGACACAGCTTGGGCAGAGCCAGGCTAAAACTTAACTTTCCCTGGCTCTCAGGCTAGTGGGGGTATCTCCTTTTGGTAAGTCTAGATTTCCAAACCCAGCTTGAGGAGCAAGGACAGGAATTACTGGGTCGTTGATGGGAATCAAAGATCCCAGGTAGGATAAGCTGGAGGAACCCCACTCTCCTCCCCATACTGTCAGCAACCGTCATGCCATCACATAGTCTCCGAAACCTTGGACCAGCTCCAAGGCCACTCACTCCTTGCACAGGCTCTGGGGGTGATGAGTCCCAGAGATAAGGAGGTCAGCTTTCCGCTCTCACGAGCTGTTTGTAGGTCCCAGAAAATACCAGCTGGCAGTCCAGTGCAGTTCAGACTCCAGCATCTTCCCACTGCCTCCAAATGGGGCAAGCTGCGAGCGGCTTGAAGACAGGAATATTGTTGTTATTAGGTGCCATTGAGTGGGCCCCAATTCATAGCGATGAACAAAACACACTGCCCCGTCCCATGCCATCCTCACAGTCCCTGCCTGCTTGACTCCATTGTTGCAGCCACTGTGTCATTCCATCTCCTTGAGGGCCTTCCCCTTTCTCACTGACCCTCTACTTGACCAAGCATGATATCCTTCTCCAGGGACTGGTCCCTTCTGACCACATGACCAAAGTAGGTAAGAAGAAGTCTGGGCATTCTCGCTTCTAAGGAGCATTCTGGCTGCACTTCTCCCAGGATAGACCAGAAGCCATCCAACTGATGCAAGATTTTAGGCCCCAGTTCCCTCTCGTGTTCAGGATGGGGAGACTATTTCCAAAGGCTTTTCCTACATCTCGGATAAAGTTGTTTGGAAAGAAGCAGCGGTTTCTTAGGGTCACAGAGAGGAAGGTACCCACTAAACCCACTGCCGTTGAGTCGGATCTGACTCATAGACCTGACTCATAGTGACCTCTCCTTGGGTTTCCGAGGTGATATCACTACGGAAGTAGATTGCCCAACCCTCCTTCTGAGGGGTGGCTGGTGGGTTTGAACCGCCAGCCTTCTGGTTAGCAGTCAGATGCCTTGGCAGGTAGTGCTTGTCAATTCATCCACATCTTGTCTTCCCCATTTGGGGAGGGGGCAGGAGAAGGACAGGTGGTGCTGAGAATGAGGCAGGCCAGGGCTCCAGGACAGCTGAAGCTTCCATAACCTTTCTTCACAGTCGGACCACTTCTTCCCACCCCTAGCACAGCGCCCTCCAACCTGGCTCCTTGGAACTCTACTCCCATGGGCGTCTAGGCAGGGTCAGAGGCTGCCCCATCCTCCACCGTGGCACTGTGGGAGATGTAGTTCAAAGCAGCTCCTGGACCAAGCTCCAGGAAGAGGGCTGCAACCACCGCCACCCACATCCCCACATTCTCGCGGCCACCCTTCCGCTCTCATATATAGGAACTCGACCACTCCAGCGAGGGTGACTGGAGTAACTCCTGGGCATACTGGGAGACCGCCCACCCTCACCCCACTCCCACCGTACTTCACACACCTGAAACCGATGCCCTTGAGGCCGACAGCTTCCCGGAGCTGTGAGAGGGAGTTAAAGGGGGAACCGGAGCCCGGACGCCGAGAGGTGGAGACAAAGGGAAGGCATCGCGCAGAGGCGAGAGCTAACAAGGACGCGGACGGAGGCGGGATGGAGACAAAGGCGGCCAGAGAGACGCCGGCCAGAGAGGACGGGAGAGCGGGAGGAGGTGCTGACACCAAGTCACAGACTTCCACACCTCGTGACTCCGGGCCCAGCAGAAGCCAGAAAAATCCTGATACGCACCCCCTCCCCAGGGGGGCCAGAAATAGAAGACAGCGTGACACACACCCCTTGTCCCGGCTGCGCGTGGTGGGAGGAGGGGATCAGGGGAGAAGAAACCCACAAAAGGGGCTGGAAGAAGACACTTGGAGAACAGAGACCGGGAAACAGGATGAGGCGGGGTGGGCTGCAAGGCCTCGGGGCCAGCGACCTGGGCGAGAGAGATGACCGATGAGCAGGGGGAGGGCTATTCCACAGGGTCACAACCGTGGACGAGGGGCTCGGTCTTCCCGGTGAGGGTCTTCCTTTTGTCCCTCCCCCGGAGGAGTGGGGGGAAGCGGGGAGGAGGGAGATTCCGGAGGGTGCTGTGCACTTGGCCCGGGTGTTCCTGGCCCCAGAGCCCGGGGACAGGTGGGAGCGAGATGGCGCGGGGCTGGGAGAGGGGTGACGGGAAAAGAGCACCCGGACACCTGAGACGGAGTCACCAAGTGGCCTCTCAGTGATCTAGGTCAGCGGACTGGGAAGGATGGGGCCGTAGGGGGCGCAGCCGCTTTCTGTCGCTGGAGGGCGCTGGCTGCCCCCGATCCGGGGTGGAAGGACAGTCTCCCAGCCCCCAGGCCGGCGCCCTCGCCAGGACCGAGAGGCTGCGGACAGCAAACTGTGCCGGAAGGGGGTTCACTTCGGAGCCCCAGGGTTAAGTCGGTGAGAGGGCCGCACGGTCCAGGTCCGATTCTGAGTCCGAATGGCAGGTTGGGCTGCGCAGGGACTCGGCTCCCGGCACCTGCCGTGCGAGTGACCCCCGCGGCGCAGCTCCGGCTGGAACCGGTGGGGGCTCCGAGGGGCGGACACCCCAGCGCGCAGAGGAACCCCGGGATGGATCTGGAGCGGACTCGGGGCTGTCTTAAGTGGAGGGCGCGGCCCAGGCCCGGGGCGCAGCCGAGAGGCCTTCCAGCCGCGTGGACGACACTCCGCCCCCTGCCCCGGGCTGGCAGCAGGTCGTGGGTCCCCGTCGAGGGGGTGGCTGCTGGCCGAGTTACTGCCCCATCTCCCCAGCCCCTCTCTTCTCGGTCCTAGAGTCGCCACCGTCCTGGGCCCCCTCCTCCAGGGTCTGCCCTCTTGTGCAGCCATCACCTGGGGAAGTTCGGCTGAAAAGGATCCTCCAAGCCGATGCCCCCTCGGTGACCCGGTCAGAGAAAGTGACAGAGCCAAGGGGAAACCGAAGCCCAAGAACCGAAGAGCGCAGGAGAGCAGTAGCGAGGCGGGAAGCAGCCGGGTGACGAAGCGCAGGACAGCCAGGTCTTTTCACCGCTCCCGGGGTGCTCGGGCAGCCAGCCCCGCGGGCCCACCGTGCCCTCTCAGCTCACCCCCCTCGCGTCTCACCGGCTCTCAGGCAGCACGGCAGCACCCGGGTCCACGCGATCGCACGCAGACAGGCCTGGCCCACACCATGCGCCTGGGGAGCGGCGCTTACCCCTCAGCTCGGCGTCCCTTGCCAACTCGGGTGGGTGGGACAGAAGGTGGGAGGGAGAGCAGGAACGTGGACCCGGGGCTTCAGTCCGTGGAGCGCTGCCCCTGACTCTGATAAACCGGTGACCCAGGCTCTTAACTCCTGAGGGCTCTGGCCCCATTTAGGAAAAATGAAAACCAAACCCACTGCTTTCCAGTCCGACTCATACCACCCTATAGGACAGAGCAGAATTGCCTCATAGGGTTTCCACTGCTGTAAATCTTTAGCAAAGCGGGGAGCTACTGGTGAGTTCGAACTGCCAACTTTTTGGTTAGCAGCCAAATGCTTTAACCACTGCACCCCAAGAGCCCCTTCCCATCCACCCACACACACACACCAAACTCACTGCCTTAGAGTCAATTTGGACTCATAGCGACCCTTCCTTGAGTTTCCAAGGTGCTGAGTTTCTAAGGC